ATTGTTTACTAAGTAAGCCTCTAACAGACGTAGCTCTAGTACTATAGTCTATAGCCCGCTTACATTAACTGCCGCTGGCGTTAATGTAAGCGGGCTATAGTACTAGAGCTATAACAGACGTTGCTATACGGAAGTATCTAAATATGTATTATTATACTGTAAGGGGTCTGTACCGTCACATATTACGGGTCGAAGCCATTCTACCGGAATCTACAGGATTCACACTCAGGCTTCGACCTAGGATTCCCGGCAAGCCAGGCAAGGCCACGGCTGCCAACATATATAAGGACAGCCTGGGATCGACTCGGTGTGCTCCATTCTACCAGACGGCCAGGACACCGACCGTGTAAGGATCAAACCCTTACAATACTGTTATAATGAATATTAGAAATACATCAGTTAAAAATTGGCTCGAAAGTGTGGTGGGTCCAAATTACTAAAGGTGGGTCTGAATTGTTGGGTCCAAACTACGGTGGGTCCGAATTACTAGCTTCGCCCTGGGGGAAATAGACGCTATAAGCCGTACTGACCTGACACGGTGAGGGACCGTGGCAACAGTGTGCGTCAGTAATTGTAAAATCAGTGAATATCAGATACAGAGAGCAAATTACATTTTTATGTCGTTGTTGACAATATGACCGCAGTGCAGAGCTATCAATTGCATTAACTTTGACTTCTTCTTCGGCACAGTTCCTTAGAAGTTGTGAAACTACATTTCGACAACGGGTGAGGCCATTTGCATTGTCGTGCGCGCCATCTAACGAGCGCTATAATAAACAATTCGAACGGCGCATTAGCGGGGACGTCAGATATATAACAAGATATAAGTTTTATTTATCGCTTTCAATATTCATAGATATATAACGCATATGATATTATATTTCATATCCCATTGCAGTTATCCAAACTCTGATAAGAGGTCTCCTATTTTGATGACTGCATTGCCAACAAGTGTGCTTATCATACGCAAAAGTCATATGCAAAGTCTTAATGTTTCTCTACTCTCTTTCGCCTATTATTGCCGATAATTTCCTGTAAATGCCGTTAAAATGCTCCTCTGCAACACACAAGTACACCGCACGCACGCCGCTGGGCACAAACAACAAGAAAAAAGTCAAAGAACTGACTTGTTGACTTATTGAGAAAGTTTATCAAAATTAAAAACGCATACATTTAATTTTAATATATTACTTGAAAAATTACAAGATATCAAAGAAAGTATGTAAATGTAAAATTTCCACGATTGGGGAGCAAATAGCGCGTAGACTCATTAAATATACTTCTTCGGCCTT